CACGACCCCACACCAGCAGCACCCCACACCCCATGGGGTCACCCCACGACCCCAACCCCCCCCCATTTGGGGTCTCCCCCCTTTACCTGCAGCCGGATGAATCGCGGCCAGGCGTAGGGTGGCAGCGCCGCAGCCACGTGCCGGAACAGCTCGGCGCCGTCCAGCTCCCAGCCGGGGCGCAGCACCACCGCAGCCATCCCAGCGCGGCCCTCGTGGCCTTTATTTGGGGAGGGGGGTGAGGGGAGGGGGCACAGGGCGGGCGGGGGGCTCGGCTGTGGGGTATTTGGGGCCGTACCTGGCACGGTGACGCCGTACACGGCAGCATCCTGCAGCGCCGCGTGCGCCAGCAGAGCCTCCGCCACCTCCGTGGTGGCCACGTTCTCTCCTTTCCACCTGGGGGGTTGCAGGGTTGGCACTGGGGCCGGGGTGCCATAGGGCCGTGGGTGCCATAGGGCCGTGGGTGCCATAGGGCCGTGGGTCCCATAGGGCTGCAGATCCCATAGGGCCGCAGATCCCATAGGGCCGCAGATCCCATAGGGCCGCAGATCCCAAAGGGCCATGGGTCCCATAGGGCTGCAGATCCCATAAAGCAGTTACCATAGGACTGTGGGTCCCGTATGGCCACAGATCCCATAGCACTATGAGTCCCATGGGGCTGCAGGTGCTATGGGGCCTTGGGTCCTACATGGCTATGGGTCCTATATGGCTATGGATCCCATATGGCTAGAGATCTCATAGGGCTGTGGGTCCCATATGGCTTTGGATCCCACAGAGCTGCAGATCCCATAGGGCTGTAGATCCCATAGGGCTGTGGTTTCCATGGGTCCATGGGTCCCATGGGGCTGTGGGAGCTATAGCTCTGTGGTTTCCATAGGGCCATGCACCCCATAGGGCTGTGGATCTCATAGGGCTGTGGATCCCATATGGCTTTGGATCCCACAGAGCTGCAGATCCCATGGGGCTGTAGATCCAATAGGGCTGTGGTTTCCATAGGGCCATGCATCCCACAGGGCTGTGGATCTCATAGGGCCGTGGGTCCCACAGAGCTGCAGCTCCTACAGGACTCTGGGTCCCATATGGCCGTGGGTCCCATGAGGCAGTGGGTGCCATAGGGCCGTGGATCCCATATGGCCGCGGTACCTGAAGGTGTCCCCGGTGCGGTCGCAGAAGCGCACGAAGCCGTCGCTGTCCTCCTCCATCAGATCCCCGGTGCTGAAGAACGTGTCGCCCTCCGCGAAGACGCCGCGCAGCAGCTTCTGCTCCGACAGCTCCGGCCGGCCGGCGTAGCCCAGGAACGGCGTCCGCGGCGTCACCGGAGCGATCAGCAGCCCCGGCTCCCCTGGGCACCGAGCTCAGCCTCAGCCCTGCCATCCCATCCACCCACCCATCCATCCCATCCCATCCATCCCACCCCATCCACCCACCCATCCATCCCACCCCATCCATCTCATCCAACCCAT